CCGTCTACTGATGGACATTTGGGTTGTTCCTATCTTCTGTCTATTGTGAATAATGCTGCTGTGAATATGGTTTGAAAATATCTGTTTGAATCCTGCTTTCAGTTCTTTGGGGTGTACATCCAGAAGTAGAATTGCTAGATCATGTGGTAATCCTGTTTAATTTTTTGATGAACCACCAGGCTCTTTCACAGCAGCTGCACCATTTCCCACCAGCAATGCCCAAAGTTCTGGTTTCTCTACATCCTTGCCAACATCTATTATTTTATGTTTTTTTTTAATAGTAACTATCATCATAGATGTGAGGCATATCACACGTGTGCAATCTGTAAATTTTTCCCCTGCAAACATGAAAGAATGGCCTCTCAGTTAAGCAGGGCAGGAGGATGATGGTCAGGGTGCTTTCCCGGGGTCAGGGCAGTAGGATCTGAGTGCAGCACCCTACATTACTTTTAACCTAGTGAACTGCAAACTCTCTGTGGCCCCAGAGATGTGGCCTCCGTCCTTGGCACCCATCACGGTGCCCTGCAAGCCCTAAGTACTATGTAAGTGTTGCTTGGTGGGAGGAACGGTAACGTAAACAGCAGGCAGCTTTGAGGACTGTGTTGTCCAGTAGTGTGTGGCCACAAAGGAGGTGGGCCGGAAAGAGGGGGCAGATGGTGCTGGACATCTCCTGGGGCCACCTTCCTACAGCCTTCAATGTGAAACTCAGGTGCTTGGTCTTTCCTCCAGGAACTAATGAAGGTTTTTAAGTAGGGGTTCATCGGGCTATACTTGTGTGGTTCAAAAGTCACCCTGGCCACCGCAGTTCGGAGGGCATTTGAGGAGACACTGTAGGAGACCAGTGAGAATACGAGGGGTAGAGAATCGGGTTGGCTCCACGGCAATGAGTGGAAAGATGGGAGAGCCCCCCATACACGGTGGCTGGGCCCTGGCCCTGGAGATCCTGTCTCCTTGTGCACAGCAGGTGCAGGAAATGCAGTCCGTGTTCGGAAACTCACAGATTATACGAAAACAGACTAACGTGTGAGAGGAGAGAGGAGCCTGTCTCAGCCTGGGCAGAGAGCTCTGGTTTCTAGAATCTGTGAAGGTGTTAAAAGGAATTTCTCAGAAAGTATAGTTGCTCATCTTGGGAGCTCAGCAAATGAGGAGGATGAGATTATCTCTGCTGCTGAAAATGTGTTCGTCAGGTTTCGGGTTTCCCTGTGTCCTCTCCCTATATGAAGATGACAGCTTGACACCATAGAAAATATGAAGTCGAAAACCAGAAGACTTCCACTTGTCTTTCACTGCGGTGCTAATGGCTTCTTCTGTTCTCAGATTTGTGTCTGCCTCTGGGTAATTGGCAAAGATGGATGTGCCATCTATCTCAAAAAATTAAAAACACTTGAAGTAAATGTGAGTTATAAGTATGCAATTATTATTTAAATGAAATAAACCTTCAAGTTCCAGAAACTGATAATTTTGGATTCATTCAGCAATGCATAACACATATAGCTTTAGGTTGGTGGATTTCTTTAAAAGGATAGTCAAGTTCAAAGAAGGGAACTGGAAAAGATAAGATTACATTGATGGGAAAACGTGCTGCCCCCACTCTGTGGGTTTCCGTTTCAGGGCATTTTACATAATTAAAAGGAGCTCTGTGACAAATCGCACCACCCAGTACACCCGTGACAGACATCTCTGAATTGCCTGGGGGGATGAGCCGGCTCCTCGGTGATGGGTAAGTGGCCCTGTTCCCTCCTTCTATTTGTTCTCTCTCTCTCAACCAGCCCCTGCCTCCCACCCTTCCTCTCCCCCACTCCCCCCCCTTAAGATCCCACTTACCTATTGCTTCATTCTTCTGGAATTATTTCTACCACTTATGAGGACTGGTAGTCATGTTCTCATAGCAATGACAGATGTCCAAACCACTTCCTCCTTGGAGAGTTTCTCTGCTTTTGAGAAAAGGCCTCTGGGTATTTGGAGAAGGCATCATCCGGGGAGTGGTGCAGGGCAGCTAGCACCTTCATTTCTAATGGTGTTTTTGTGATGTTCCCACAGGAAGACGTGGAGCTCTGTTGGGGGGAGAGGGGGAAGGCTTAAAACGTTGCCATTAATGCTGATGGAGCTTTTACTTATAATTGAATGAACAGTCCTAATTTTATAAAATATGGTCATTAGAAGCTCAGAGTTGAAATCTTCTGTGTATTCTGAAGCATAGCTAAAATATAACAAATCTAATTGACCTCTCTCAAACAAGCAGAAACCAGAAAGTTCCATGGAAAACATTTACTGGTAAAAAAAATTTTTTTTTAATATTGGGAAATGCAAATCAGTTCACTGTTCCTTACAGAAGAAGCATCCCTTTAGGGAAGAGACCTCACTGGATTTGTAAGGCCACATCAAGAGGCCACACGTGATTCTCACATAGAAAACATGGGCTGAACCCTGGACATCTATGATTCAGGGACACCTATGTCTCTTAGGGAGAAGTTGTGGGTCAGACGAGGGGGCTAGTGGCGTGCCCTGGGAGTCAGAAGACCAGGTCCTAGAAATGGGGCATTCAAGCCAGGGGGAGGAGTCAGAACCACATGAAGGGGATGTCGAATATTTCTGTGGATGGGGCTTTTAAACCCGTAACTTCTTTCCACCATCAGCCCACCTTCAATATGGTCCTTTCTTTGGACCCAACTGATGAACTATTTATTTTGGTAATTTATTAAGTATTTATGGATGCTGGGGAGCACCAGGGTGGTTCAGTGGTTGAGTGTCTGCCTTTGGCTCAGGTCGTGATCCCGGGGTCCTAGGATAGAGTTCTGCATGGGGCTCCTCAGAGGGAGCCTGCTTCTCCCTCTGCTTGTGTCTCTGCCTCTGCCTCTGTGTGTGTGTGTGTCTCATGAATAAATAAACAAAATCTTTTTTTAAAAAGTCTTTATGGACGCTGCGTTAGCACGGGGCAAGTTGTGGTGAACAGGAGAAAGTGAATATGCCGCCATGTGATGGCGCTTACCTTCCAGCCGCAGAAACGCCCCCCACACAACTAAGTAACAATTAATGACCCTGCCTCCGTTGTCAGTGGTCACCTGCAGGAGAGGGCTGGGATGGCCTGGGTTGAGGGACTCTAGCCCAGATGAGGGTCCAGGAAGGCAGGCAGCCTTCCTTGGGGAGTCTGCATTTGAATAGGGGGTGCATGAGTACAGGGCAGGGAGGGGTGTTCCTGGTAGGTGGCACGACCCCGTAGGGACCCTGATGCAGGGACAAGAGGCCTGGATGGAGGGAGTGGCTGTGACCCGGGTAGGTGGGTGGTGCATGGAGCCAGCCCATAGAGGTGCCGCACAGAGGCGCACCTGCCCCACTGGGCTGGCACAACTCCTCCGATCGTACAGTTGGACCAGTTGAGCAGTTTCGCCAGCAGGGTCGGGACATACCTGGGGATAGGATGGCGTGGCCCAGGAGCACAGGACACCTGCGCTGTCCTCGCAGCAGCAGCAGCACGCTGGCACACATCTTCCGGCCACGGCCTCTGTGCTCCGCATGCTGGAGGCCTCTCTCCGGGAGGATACATGGCAGCCGACGAGGAGTCGCAGTGTCTTCTTCGTCCCTGGCATCTGTTCCCGACACGCCATCTGCCCTGTACAGCAAGCCCACGTCTTTCTTCTTGTTCTCTCTTCTCTACTTCTTGTTTGGACCGCGCGTGGAGGAGGTCATTGTGAGCCAGGGAGATGTGTGCGGAGGGAAGGGGGCTTGGGAAGTCACTCCCTGGGCTCTCTTCTCTCCTCTCCTGGGTGCTCTTTGCTTGTGAGGCCCATCTCCGCTTTCCAGACCCAGCCTTCCAGATGGCCAGGATGATGCAGGGAGTCTGTCCTTCCCGACAAAGGCAGGGGGCTCGGCGGCACTCCTCTCGGCACAGGTGAACCCGGCCCCAGAGGGCTGGAAATGTGGGTGAGATTTTACATGGACCCTGGGAATCACCTTATGTTACCTAATACAAAAAAAAAAAATCCTACAAGCAAACTGGACAAAGATGCTGATGAAACCTGTTTTCTTCTCAAAGCGTTATCAGTGACACGCCATATGGTTTTTGCCAAATCATTTGGCTGCTGTAAGATTTTTCTATTCCCAATTGTAAAACTGAGCTAATAGAATTTGCCACCCCGCTGGGACATCACAAGCACTGATCAGAATATCTATAAATGCCTTTGAACTCCTTGGGAAAAAACACTCCGCCAAAATACCAAGTGAAATTTATATAAATGTCGTCCTAACCCTGGATCTTCATTTTGAAAGTGGGAATTTAGGGCTTATGTGGACACATTTATTATAGTCCTCACAGAAATTACACAAGACTGGATGCCCTGAGTTTTCATTTTTTTTTTCTTTAAACAAGACCATGAAATGTTCTAGGCTGAGGCTCAGAAAATGTTCAAACATAAGCCCCATTACAAAACCTAGTTTGCACGTAGGAGGCTTTCTGGGGCGCTGGGGTCCATTCCCTGTGCCACGGCCACTGGGGCCCTGCTGCGGTTCTGGGTTCCCTTGAACCAAAGGCAGGACCACCTGGTCTGTCATCCCTGAATCTCTGGGGTGTGCTGAGATGTATCATCGTAAAGCTCAGACATTTCCTTTTCCTTTCTGGGGTGGGAGGCAGGAGGAGAATCAAGGAAAAATTTCTACCGACAGATCTGCAACGGTTCACCCTTTAGGAAGACCCAGGAATGTTTATTTGACTCCCTGATACAGCTTAATTATACTTAAGTCCATGTGTTTACTTCGCAGATCTCCAAAAAGAGTAGAAAAGATCTAGCAACCCCAAATTAGTTTAGGAACCAGCATGTCCCTTGCTTTAAGGAACACAGTAAACATTTCAAAAGAGCATGCCAGCTCATTATCCAACTCTCTCTCTCCAGTGACTTCAGAGAGAACAGCGGTAGTTAAGCAATGTTTGCCAAAAGCAAATCTGGGGACGGGTGTTGATTTTAAAAGAGAAGGAAAGAAGAGCTCGCTGCTCCCCTGCAGGTTTTCCCGGCTCGGCTCTGCGGCGTGGAGGCGAAGGCCGCGTCTGCAGACTTCACGAGGAACTACGGCCCCTCCTTGACCTCCCTGCTGTCGGGGGTCCCCGATGGGTGAATGAGCGGCCGTGTGATGTGTCAGGACCTTCCCTGAGAGGTGAGACACTGCTCCCCAAGTCTGGGGACGGAAGAATGGATAAACAGTTTTTACTTGCCCTCAGTAGGTTCTCACACTCGAACCTGGACGGTTGGCCCCGTGCTCGGGAATCCAGGCCCCGTAAGGAGTGAGTATTTCTGTGCTTTGCACCAAGACACCCCCCTGCCCCCAAATATACCCTCCTTACTTATTCTGGAAAAACGTAATGAACACATCCTTTGGCTGTTGGAGATTCTGGTTTGTTTAGCAAGAAATAACTTTCTGGCACAGTAGAGTCCCACAGCAAAGAAAAGCTATTTTGCCATACGCGTCTGGATACCGAGGGCAAAAAAAAAAAAAAAAAAAAAAAAAAATGAGCATTAGCATTAGCATCCCCCCTCCCAGTAAAAGACCCTACAACCGAAAAATTGTGCAAAGGCAGTTCAAAGTCTGCCCCATTTCTTTCTAGGGCTTCCAGTCTTGTTCTTTCTTCCGCCCTGGGGAGTAGGAAGACCGGAGCAGCTGACCAGCCACCTCTCTCCCTTACCTCCTGGTGATATTTGAAAATCTTCATTTTGTTTCATAGGTCACAGGTCAGCCCGTCCATGTGGATTCTTGTAATTGCACAGGACGGGCTTTGTGTGGGCCGATTACATCTTTTCTTTCAGACCCAAAGGGAGCCATTCATTAGGACGGCGCTTGAGCCTAAAGCTGACCTGCCCCATCTGAAGGCAGATCGCCCATGAAAGCCCCCGGCGTTACTTTATTCCTGGAATCTTAATTACAAGGCAGCACCAGGACGGATGTATTAAGTAGCTTCAATTCACCCGGCCCGGCAGCCAATGCGATGGCGCCCTGAAGGCTTGGTGGCAGATAACGGCTGATGCGGAAGCGAGGTTAGAAACCCACCCCTGGCCTTGAGACCTTTGCAAACTCTTCCCCTCCTGCAGGTGCATGGTGCCCCGGAGATCAAAGGGAAGCGAGGTCTCAGGTGCGCCCTGGATCTCAGCCTCCCCATGTCCTAGAGGACGGACCCTCGGTTTTCCAAGTGGGAGGGCGGGATGGGGCAGGTGACACCCAGTGGGCACCATGCGTGTCTCACAGTGAGGCTGTGACCTCGGGCCAGACCTCAAGACCATCAGCAGGGAAGCAGCCCACCTCTTCAGAGTCCTTTTAGACAGACCATCACCTTGGGGCAGATGTTCTTGGTCTTTTCTTGTCGCTTTTGCCAACTTCTAATTTAAAGTGTGTTAGGCGGGTCCCCACTGCCTTGGGAGAGGCGACAAGGGGCCTCCCTGGCATTTCAAAGGCCGCCCTCCTTTTCTATGCTGGCTCACAGAGAAGGTTCTGGAGGGAGGTGGGCATGTTCACACAGAAGCTCTGGAATCTCCCATTAGAGAAGGGGTTGAGGTGGGACCCCCTTCCCTTTTGCTGCTCGGGGATGGACAGGCGGGCCTAGTGCCGCCTCGGGCTGCTGACAGGGACAGGTGCTGCTGATGCCAATGGAGGGAATGCAGGATGACACATGGGGCTCTGTATGGTCACGGCAGCATGTGCTGGACTTGGGAGGGTGGCTCAGTGGGAACACTGGCTGTCGTGCAGGGTGACCCAAAGGGGTCTTGCAACTAGGAACCTACTGAGGGAACATTGGCATGATGCACCTGCAAGGGCATCCTCTTGCTTTGGGCAAATGCCCTTTAGAGCAGGCTGGGGCACGATGGTGCTCCCCTCCCCAGGTAGTGGGTGCAGTCGCATCAGCTTCTCACCAAATACAGATTCAGTGTTCACCTTTCTCCCCTTTCCTCTGGGCCACCAGGGAGTTTGCATGTGACAGGTTGCAGACAGGATGCTGTGGACAAGTGCAGCGGGGGCTGGTGCGGGGCGGGGGGCTGTATGTGCCATGGAGAGCAGGGCGTGAGCAAGCAGCTGCCCCCCGCATTTCCCGGAGTGCTTGGCCAGGTGCTGCATGTCATCCTGGTCCCAGCCAGGGCCCCCTAGGGGATGGGGCCCGAGCAGAGCCTGCCAGCTTGCTCACTGTGACCGATGCTGTGTTTAATGTGGCAAAGGAGTCACCAGGGGCCAAATTCACGGATCACCAGAACCAGGTGGCAAGAGCCAGGCTCAGATGTGGCTTTCTGGAAGTGAATGGCTAATGACCAACCTCTGACCTGCTCCTGCCCCCCAAGAGTGCTCCAAAGTTAAGCTGCAATTTCAAAGAGACGGTCTCTGGGGATTTAATTTGAGTAGGAAAGGCATAGCGTTAGGCCCGGTGGATCTCTAACACCTCTTCTCTCCCCGGTCCAGCCTCCCTTCTCTCCTTCCGTGCTGCTGGTGGGGAATCCTGCTTTTCTGTGCTAGCGACCCCCCACCCCCCATCCTCAGGCACCCCATCCTCACATTATCACATGCACGGTACCTAAACAGGCTGAGCCTCACAGTTTAAAAATAACATGCCTTTGCAAAGAGGTACATCTGGTCTGAGATGCCAGCTGTGAGATCAAATGGGAATTGGGGATTACTTGTGTTTTCCAGTTATTCTGGCCCTTCCCACTAATTGTGGGGTGCAGATCCACTTAACCAAAATGGGTTTTATTCGCCGTATATCCCCTCAAATCTTTCTGGAACAAGGATAAATCATGTAAATGAGGTAATCCGGTAAGAATAAATCAAGTAAATAAATCTCCAACACGGGCAGTTGAACACAGACATCCTCGCAAATGCCTTCTCTCTTGACAACATCTGGAGCCCAGCTCCACGAGGAATGCGTCAAAGGGAAGCGCGGGCCGGGGGGAAAGAACTGCACGTCAGCCAATTGAGCCTCTCGATTTACGGTGCTTCAAAGAGTTGTTGGCTCTTAATGTCCTTCTGCAGTCGCTGCTGCTGGCAGGGAGTGAGGGAAGGGCTGTTTACACCTGAGCACCACCGGGGGTGGGGTGGGGGGAGCGCCGCTGGCGTGGGGGTCATGCTAGCGACGCCTTCTGAGCCCGCGCTAAGGCTGGCGGTGGAGTGCACCCCAGAGGTGCTTCCTCGTCTCGTTGGTTGCTCATGATGACCCTATAGGCAGGTGCTCCCTTCCCCTCTCTGGGATGACGGGGGTATGTGGCCAGCTGGTGCCGTGACACTTCGGGGTCACGGCAGGGGTGTGACAGAGCGGAGCTGGACTCACGTTCAGCATTTTTGTTAGATGAACTGTGTCCTCCCCAAATTCGCGTGTTGAAGCCCTAACCCCCTCTGCCTCCGAACGTGACCTTATTCAGAAACAGGGTCGCTGCAGATGTAATGGGTTTCGATGAAGTCATACTGGAACAAGGTGGGTCCCTAATCCAATGTGTCTTTATCGGAAGGGGAAGTTTGCATACACATGCACAGGGGGAGATCACCACGTGAAGATGGAGGTGGAGAGCCAGAGTGGGGGGCGGGGGGTGGGACGCTGTCACCAGCTGAACAATGACAGAGGTCACCAGGAAACACCAGGAGCTGGGGAGAGGCCCAAACAGATCCCCCCTCAGCCCCGGAGGATCCCACCCCCCGGCACCTTGATCTCAGACCCACAGCCTCCAGAACTGTGGGGGGGGGGCACTTCTGTTATGGAAGTGGCCCGATTTGTGGCACTTGGTTACGTTGGCCCTCTGCACCCTGTGTCCCTGAGCTCAGGTGGGCTAGGTGACAAGGAGACACATCTCCGGACGGAGGTGGCGGGAAGAAGGGAGCAGTTTTGCTTCTGGGGTCCCGGCAGCAGGAGCAGATCCTTGGTTGCCCTCCACTGTCAGACTCCTCCTCCTCCTCCTCTACCCTGGGAGGGGGGCGGTGAATGTCCACTCTGGGGGTTCCCTGAGCATCTATTCCTACCCCTGCACTTGGGCTGAGTTTCTTCAAGGGGGTTCTCCCTGGAGGCTGCTGGCTGTGACCCCGGGCCTGGATGAGGACAGTCAGTGGCCACGCACAGGAGAGAGGCCCAAAAAGAATCATTTAAATGCACCCCACCTAGGGGCTGTTGAAAACGTCTATAGTTTTTAATCATAGAGGGATTTTTTTGTTTGTTTCCTCCAGAAAACTCACCTCTTATTAGAACCGAGTCAACAGGAACTCGCTTGGACTTGGGTGACCGGGGAGGGCCTGGAGACCTGGGTGGGGGTGGGAGGAGGAGCAAGCCCCGCAAGGGGTTGCCAGGCAGGGGTCTGCTGAGCTGCAGGAGCCCCCTTGGATGGTGGTGGATCCGGGGTCATCGGGATCCCACGGGGAGCTCCTCAGGGACGGGTTTAGGCTCAGGCATGGAGCTGACGTTCTGAGGCGAGGGCTGTCGTAGTGGGGGTGCTGGCAGGGGCTTCGGGATCTGAGAGGCTACACTTTGGACTCTCGCCTGAACCCCTAGCGGCAAACCCTCCACATGTCACTGCCACCCCACCTGTGCACGGGGCCGGGGGTGCCTGTCCTGGGTTCCTGGGGTGTTAGGTGGAAAGCTTCAGGGCCCAGCCCTTACTGTGAACGCTGTGACCCCCTCTCCCTCTGTCTCCCCAGGTGGCCCCTGGAAGGGGGAGGGGGCAGGTGCAGGTGCAGGCTCCGTCTTTGCCCTGTTGGGCTTTTCTCTGAGGCCTTGGACAAACTGCTCGCGCCTCTGGTCTTGTTCCTCACCTCACCCGTACAGCGATGTCTGAGGTTCCTTTGGCTCCAGCAGGGTTTCCCGGGAAATTATGGAGGTGCCGTCTGGGGGGTGCCGGCCCGGGGAAGTCAGGTCCAGGTGCTTCTGGGATTGAACCGAAATCTCCACTTCTAGGGTTAACAGGCCCTCTGGAAGGAGATAGCAGCTCCCCGGGTGCACGTGTGTGCATGTCTGTGTGCATGTCTGTGTGCGTGTGTGTGTGCACCGACACCGCGGAGCCCTTCCAGCCGCGGCCGTGGAGAGCGGCCACGCTCTCAGGATGCTGATGATGCAGCTAGCACGTCAGGACAAGGTCAATATTTTTGCAAGCTTAATTCGGTGGTTTTAGTCCTTAACGCTGTTTCAACCCAACGGACTGCTCTCTACAGATACGGCGGAGATTCCAGATGTCAGAGTTACTACGTCCCTGGCCTTCGCCTCAAGCCTAGCGTCTGTGGCATAGAGCTAGGGGCTATATTATATATTTTCTTCTGTAGCAAAAATGGGAATCTTTACTAAAATAACTAAATATCGGGGTGCTTGGGTGGCTCAGCGGTTGAGCATCTGCCTTCGGCTCAGGGCGTGATCCCGGGGTCCCGGGATCGAGTCCCGCATCGGGTGCTCCGCAGGGAGCCTGCTTCTCCCTCCGCCTGTGTCTCTGCCTCTCTCTCTCTCTCTCTGTGTGTGTCTCATGAATAAATAAATAAAATCTTTAAAAATAAATAAGTAAAAATAAAAAACCAACTAAATATTATTTAACATCATGATGCAAAAGTGACCGCTGTATGGCGCAACTCTTAAAGAAATTTTATATCTAGGTAATTTTGACAGTTTATTAATGGTGGATGGCGTCCGCCCGTTACACCCCTCGTGTCACATGGCTCTGTGATTCGTGTTCTCCGCAGCTGAAGTGGCAGCGATCTTGGGACCTACATGGGAGTCTAGGGGTTGGGGGTGGGAGATTTCTCTCTCCCTAGTCTCTGCTGGTGATATTGGGACATACAGGCCTGTCTTTCCAGCATCTTTGCTCTGAGCCCCCCAAAGCCAGGGGAAAGAGAGAGACAGAGACAGAGATGGATGGAGAGAAGAGGTAGAAATAGCTACTCCCGGTCACGGGGTACTTCTGTGCCTTTAAGAGCATAAATTCCTGCAGCTTTCCCCCCGAGAGGACCGAGCAATTTTCCAGTCTCAGAAAGAAGAAAGAAGATTTCCCGCTCCCAGTAGGAGCTTGCAGGGGCTCTGTGCAGCTCTGGAAAT